ATAACTCTCATCTAATTATTTAGTTAAATAAGCTATTAAAAGCCTTTTAGCTGTATTCCTGAAGAATGGCAAAACAGTAAACACGATAAGGGACCGATCCTACGACGTTTTGACTGTGAGTCCCGACCACTACCGTTGCGCTGTTTTGCTTCATAACTCCGTTCAGAGAATCGTTTAGCAGATTTGGAAGGTAGATTTGAGATCAGCGTTCGAAGGCACATCTAGGCGTATACATCTCTTCTTGAATGGCCATGGCGACCCTGGAGCCTTTCCTTGTTAGCTGCCAGCGTTATAGCACTCACGTTGTGCTCTGAGATCATTTTCTGCAATATAACAAGACATTTCTGTGGATTTTCCGTTGGCAGATTCAGCGGAGTGTTGATAATTGATTGACCGGTAGCTGTCCAGACGGAAAGTGAAGAATACGGCTTAGGTAGTCGTTTTTCTGCGTTCACTGCGGTTGCTTCGAGATTATTACGTATAATTTCCCATCTGAACTTTGATTAGTTTCATTCCTCGAACTCGTAGCTATGCAAACTTTTGATATTTGAGATGCACTTTGAACGAAAATTCTGTTTACGAGTGTCTCGTCAAATTACTGCGCGCTGACAGTGCCCAAAAAAAGACACTTCATTGCAGAGTGTAACACTAGCGCCGACGATACCACGTCTTGGCTTGGTGATTCAGCTCTAACGTTAGCCGAGCGAGCACCTACCTCTCTTGGATTAAGGATAACTCTTCAATAGTATAGTTCAATTTTGTAGCCATAATAGTATTGTATAGGCTACGATATTCAATGAACTCTCGGCGTACACGGAAGTACATCTGAAATATTCATATTATTACAGTGGACAGACAGACACTATAAGCCTGGACTCAAGTAAAATGTCGCTTAACAAATACACGACAGCGACCACCTTCGGTTTTTGGTAGGCCGGGCGCGATTTTGTAGCCCTTCACCTCACCCCCCCCCCCTCATCTCGGGATTTTGCAGAGTAAATGATAAAAAACATAAACAAGACAAAGTAAATCTAGTAATCCATAAGACGTTAATCATGCTGAAAACAAAATACGCAAAATAATCACTGCAAAAGGTTGGTAGGCTAATAATAGCTGGCAGCCCATATGGGCTGCCACCGGCGACAATTTGTCAAATTTGAGTTTTGTCTCAATTCAATGTTTCTAAACTATCATTGATTTGGTTCTGATGAGCTATCATGATCTTGGCTGCGCCGCGCCGGCGCGGCCTAGCCGACCATACGGTGTGCACAGTAAATAAATAAAGAAATAAATATACGAAGTTATTACGAAATAAATAAATAAATAAATCGATAAATGAATGAATGATAAAATTTCTATGTCATACCCCTTGTTCATTGTTTCTCAGATCCAATTGGCATGTGAAAGCAAGCCATTCCAGAAATTCTGTGTGCACATTGTGCTCCTCGACAGGAGCAGGCTTTCCATAAGTTCGGACAAATTGTGAAACGTAAGTAATGATGGAACGTTTGTCCTCGTCGCCTACCGAGATACATCATCATCTTAAACACGTACAGTTAAGGGGACTGCTGAACATTTACCATCTAAAGCCGGTTTCAGACTTTGCGAGATCGGCGATCGCGCGAAGTTGACACCACTGCCCACCACGTGTCAAGCAAAATTCAACCTCCAACACAGTTTACTAATGCCCAAATGTTACTTGGTGAGCCACAACTCAAATGATTTTCCAGATTTCCTCTCGCGGTCCAGTTAGCCCGCCCACTCTTCCAGTGCTCCATGTCGCACCATATTTCTTGGGTTATCCATCTGATGAACTAACGCACTTGAAATGACACCATCCAGTCTTTCAATCACGGGTCCACTGTTTCACTCGCATATCAATTCCTAGGGAGCGTATTACATACGAGAGGCGTAAAACATGGAGAGTGTTGTAATGTCGTTTCTGCCAAAAGAGGACAAAAAGTAGGAATTTCAAACACTTGACGGGTGCAGATTTCGGAAGTTGATCAACCTCAGCAATGACTGTTTCGACTGAACTTTCATGTGTTCACTGATAACTTTTGCGACTTTCGGGGAAGTTGACGGACCCGAAGAAAGGAATGAAGCTAGCCGGCTCTTCATTGGTGATGAGGACCGAACAGGAGTGGATTCTCGCGAATATTGTACACTCGTGGAGCCCCAGCCCCACTCACGTAGCAAGGCCAACTTAGTATGCTCTCAATCTGAAATTAGTCGATTAGTACATTCGTGCACTGCTGTGCATCGGTGGAGATGCTGTTTTTTGTAGTCACTGGTAACAGTTGCTTGTGACCACAAAAACCCGACATATCCACCCACCCACTTGCCACCGTCAGGTGGTTGCAGACGCACCGGAACTACTTCACCTCTATTATTAGACAGGATCTGGATGATCTTTACAAAAAGGGTCACTTAAAAGTCATAACCGACTTCACCATCCTGTACACCTCGCAAACCGTGCACCAAGAGTGAATAACAACGACAGGCTGCAGGGTTCTAGCCACTAAAACGATTCCACTAATCGTAAAATTACCATTTCAACTACCGTAGAACGAGCAAAAAGAAGCGCAGAAGAGAATATGTGTTTTAAGTGGCACACATTCCTACTAATACATAATTAACAAGTCAAATTCCACAAAATTATACGAACCGATAATTATTGGAAGTAGCAAAAGGATAGCAAACGGAAGTCGCGAGTGTTCACTTCGGAGCCTTACTTTCTTAGCTTTTATTCTCCAAAAAAAAAAAATTTAAAAATGCTCTCAACTCCAAAGAGTACCATATAAAAATTTCCTCGACCTTTAATAAGGAATAGCTAGAGAGAATGGAACTTCCGCAGTGCGGGTATCCGCACCCTTTTTTCGGAACATTATCTGAGGAAAGAGACCACATACCTGGTCTCAAAAAGCAGACAGGAACAATTTTCATCGCCCTGACTGCTTTCTGAGAGCGTCAGCTAATACTAGACACATTCCTTGACAAAATAAAATCTAATTCAACTAGTTATATCCATGTTGACGGAAACCAGATAGTGTTGATATCTTACAAGACTTTTTAAAAAAGCCAAGAAGTAAGAAACCCTTTTTCGACAGCAGAAAAATCAGGAAATGTTGGCCCTTGCTCAATTTCTCCCAACTGACTTTGCTTTGCTTGCAATGCACTCGCTTCGCCTCTAATTGGTCAATTCTTCACACTTACTAGCCGATGAATGGCTGTTTGCTAAGGCAAAATGATCGCTTGAGATGAATTCAGCGAGACCTTTCCTCTTGCCCGTTTCTGCACCCCTTCTAAGAGTTCTTCCTGAATAAAAAACGGAAATCCCCGTTTGATCTACCATTTCGCAGGTATTTCCTTCTCAAGGCAGCGAAACAACTCAACGATAAACTGCGTTCACCTTACGCGCGCTGGTGCTCTCTTACCTGAAAATGAAGGATGATCTGCCATATGAGCCCCAAGACAATGCGAGGGTTGCCATCTGCGATGTCACTGGCATTGTTGTTCACCAGTTCAAGACCTGAATTTTATGCATCAAAATAACCAAAATTCAGAAATTAAAAAGGGTAATGGACCCAGATTCCACTGGATTTCCAAAAATAAATGTGTGTGCGTGAATCCAAGCAGTACCTCTTCGTCGCAGAACCGTTAAAGCTGTTGTCAGATTAGCAATATGGTGAACTCGTTTAGATGCTCGTGTTCTGCATACTTGCTGAAATATTCAAAATTTATAACACGATCGAGACCAGCCAGTCCAGTCAGTCGCTTCTAGACAAGCTAATAAATATGTCTCAGAACAAAATTCCCCCTTTCAACTTTCAACAATTGCAAGCACTTCGATGACAGAGCTCAACAAATTAGATGTTCCACACAAATTATCCTACGCAGATGCTTTTTTGAGCACAGCGATCGACCTTGAAATAGGGGAGCGATACGGTTGCTAGTAACCTTCGAAGGTCACCAAAACGAAATTGATGATTGTGACGAATCAGAGCAAAACTGTGTTTTTTGTTAGAAAGAATTCTGATCGCACATTTCATCAAAAATTCTACTAAAGCAGTGGACTGGAAAAATCTGAACGTCGTCTGAATTTTCGTTGAATTTTTTTTCGCTCGACGACCAAACACTGGGCTTGTGTGTCTCAAAAAACAATCCGTACATGAGGGTTTGAGAACACAAAGTATTGGAACCGGAAAACCAACTGGCTTAGAGATTGTATTTTTTGCATTAGCCAGAAGCCATTTAGTTGATTAGAGAAACAATCAGTGGCTTGCAATTGATTGACGCCCTATCAGCCGATGTCAGACTTTGCGAATCGAGCGATTCGCTAGCGTCCGCGGTCGCGTTGCGGTACCAGCCAATCGAGCGATTCGTTGGCCGCGACGCGACCGCGACGCTAGCGAATCGCTCGATTCGCAAAGTCTGACATGGGCCTCGAAGGGCGTCCTTCCGAATGAAGTTATTAGGCCGATATCAGAATTTGAGAATCGCTAGTAGCGAATCGCTTCGATCAGCTGAACTCCGACACAGGCTTCTAGGTTCCTATAGAAGCAACACCAGTTTTTTCAGCACACACGCTCAGCATTTTTAAATCTGTATAATATGCAAAAAATTCGAGGCAGTCCATAGGTAGCTCGGAAAAGCCCACGTGGTTACATCTTCTTTTGGAATGAAACCGGTAACCGCGATGACATCACATCGTTTATAGCGCACTCTGTCATGCCCATCTATTATATTCTGCATTTCTACATTCCAGAGACAAACAGAGCAATTCATCTCCGAAAGAAGGCATGAATAATGATTTATTTGATTCACAATGACAAGTACTGTGAGATTCGATATTCGCTATAGTCGTTCGCTACAATTACACTGACAGGCGGCACCACATGACATATCACGCACATTTCGACAGTACATGTTTACACTACTGCGGATTCTCACAATTTCTTTTTAGCGATTTACTCATACACGCAGAGAACGAACACATTCTTCTGCTGTTTGGAAAACAGTTGATTACATTGAGAACACCGCAGTTTGATTAAGTGACTGCATATAGTGGGCAGGCACAGAAATTTTCAGAGGGGGTGGCGGCTAAATAACCTCGGGAAGAAATAGTCCCGAGTGATGCTTGGAATGGATAGCGAAGGTTGTTAAAGGAAGCCCGGATGGTGTAATATAGTGTCACAGCTCCGATGCTAAGTAGGCTTGTCAGAAGAGAAAAATTTGTGAGGCAATTTACGCTTCTCATATCTTTCCAATCGTCCTATACAGGTTTAGTACCAAGCCGCTATTCAATCGAAAAATCCTTCTTTTCTGTTTGGCCACACGGTCGTGCATCAGTTCGCGGGGACCGCGCCTGGAGATTAGGATAGCACGCGACAATGAAAAACATATGTATTGACGGCGAGATTAGGATAGTAGTAGATTGGGATAGTAGTAGAGTAGGAGATTGCGCTGACAAAATTAGATACGTATCGATTGAAATCGCCGGAGAGTAGTAGATTGCGATATTACGATAGTAGGATAGTAGTAGTAGAGTAGGAGATTAGGATAGTAGTAGATTAGGATAGTGCGCTGACAAGATTAGATATGTATTGATCTATTCGCTTGAAGTCGCCCAATCTACTACTCTCCAGCGATTTCAATCGATACGTATCCAATCTTGTCAGCGCAATCTCCTACTCTACTACTATCCTAATATCCTGTCGCCTACTATCCTAATCTCCCGAGTCGCGAACTATGAACGCGGCCTTACAGTTTATCGATGAAGAAATTTCACCTTCTCCGCAAAATCCGAAACCGTTCGCCCTTAGCAATTTAAATGCCTCAGAAAACTTCGGCTGAACTCCAGCGCCACGGGAAACTAATGGTACTGACAAAGAATATAACATTCGCTGTTCGTATGTGCCGTATGTGGCAACAATTTTACTGCAAATTAATGCAGCAACCGGTTCTCCCAAATTCAGTAAAAACTTGCATAGATAGGTTACTGATGGTCCTGATAACAAATTTAAATTCATTTTGGCGCAGCCAACTATCAAGGTTTAAGCGCTAAAGCAGAATGATAATTCTGCGTTAGCGCTTAAACCTCGATAGTAGGCTGCCTAATAACGCTATTGCCAGAAATGAATGTGATATTTCCCCCCCCCCCCCCCCCATCAGAACCATGAGTTGAGAACAGGTGTTGCAAGTTCAATTCGGCCCAAAAATGGTGCGAACATGGCGCCATGCCAAGAAAAAACTTCACTTCCTTATCAGCACCACCTCTTATCCCATGAGGGGAAGTTTCAGACAGACCCGGCACAATTCGCCTCCGGTTCCTCAGAAAAGCCGCATCTTTGTAGCAAGGACCTGATACGTTATAATGAGACTGATGATTATTCCGATATTATAATATGTTTGAACGGCGAATATTACAAGAAGCGCCTTCAGCTAGTAAGCCCTATGGAAACCAAAATCTCCATCTGTACATGATCCTTGATCCACATACAAAAACATGTGGGCAGCCATGACTAAATCAAAGTTCGGTTCAGTTCAAAAAGTTTACAGGTTAGTAAAAATGCCTGTGTGTGGATGGACCTCATAATACGCCCCTCTCGAGAGCCACTTGAGACAGATATTTTCTCAAGCCAATCGTTGTCATTGCCTCGAGTCATAATCCACTAGGAGGGATTACACATAGTGGATCCATTTTGCAACATGATCGCTTTTCAAGTCCGGTGTCTCTACTGGCCTCATATCAATTCAAGACTAACCAAGGGTTATAATTCCCATAGAAAACCGCTTTGCATCTGCCTTTGATACTTAGCATTAGGTTCTACACAGAAGACTCCATGTTTCGAGCAATCTTTACGGATCAAGCTCTCCACTCATTTTCGACCAAAAAGCCGCCACCCAAATCGCTTGGGGACGCTGCCAGTTTCACATCAGTTTGAGAAAGCAGTTCAACTAATAGATGAAGTCTTGATACCAAGCATGAAGATCGCCATAATTTGTAAACCACTTAACTTTGCGTGTCAGTTTGATGGTACGTATTTCGATCTCTACAAAACGCAAGTATAGTTACCAAAAAACCTAACCGGAGAAACCCAGCGTTAAGAGAACCAGCTGACAAATCGCCCTCGTGGTGCCAATTTGATGACTGAGTCTCAGTCAGTCATTAGTCATTCCCTTCAACAAGTGATAAGGCTGTAAGTAGAAAGAGATGATGAGCCGGAAAAGACGTGTAGCGGAGCAGAAAAGGGTTAGCTTCACGAGAGTCAGGGAAAGAAACCGACATTGCATACAGTGTGGTGTGATATGAATTCTCAGTGCTGCTCCGTTCTTTTTTTGCTAAAAAAAATTTTAAAACATTGACAGCGCATGATTTCTAAATTGACCGCGTATACCGGCGTTTTTTAAGGCTGGTTGTCGTATTCGCATTAGCTGCCTTCAAAGAAATTATTTCCTTAAAAAATGTAGCAGGACCCCAAATCATAGAGGTAGTGGTACTCTTGCGCCTTGAAAGTGCCCAACATGGGAGCTAATGCCTTCATTTGACCACTGCAACCGCTGGCATTCCTATG